GTTTTGGGAATGGAATTGTTTTTGAAGCCAGTGGCAGTTGCTTGGATGTCCTCAAGATATTTTCCCCTATGTTCTTAAAGCCTATTGTATATTTATATTCACATTTGGAAAATATATTTCTGAAACACTGACTGCGTAAGTCTAACACATACGCACGATGAACACATGAAAATCAGTGCTCCTAATTGACTTGCAGGGGGTTAGTTAATATTCAACTTAAATTTTGGCATTATCAATCTTTATTACTATAACTCGATCAGACATACCAGTATAATAGTTACTGAAGTAAACTTTGGACTATTATTTAACCATCATTTGTTTGGAAGTCACTGTTGGATAGTTACATTGAAAAGAAATATATATAAACATGAGTTGTTTTTGAAAAGTTAGAAAAATATCCTTATTTTAACTAACATTTTTTTTTCTGTAGGCTAGTATCCACCTAGGAATATGAACCCTACAATTGTGTGGCCTTTGTAGTGTTGTTGCAAAGATATTTTGGTTGAGGAATGATATGTAGAATAATTATGAAAGTAGATGGAGGTTAAGGTTAGGTTGAGTTAGCTTTTTTAAAGGAATAGTCTCCTGTTTGATGAAGTCCAGTTTGTGACAGCTACCATGATATGAATTGGAAATTTTATTTTAGTAGTGAAAATTTACAAAGGAATAATATGGATTAGCCAATATGTTTTTTTTTTTATTGAGCTAAAGATTCGTACATAATTTTCATTAAAACCAAACTTTTTTGTATGGTTGTCATATTGTTTATTGGCATTTTTAGTCATTCTTTTTTGTGCTGATTGTAGAAAGGTAAAACAAGTATTAACGTCTTTTAGTTATTGAATTTTTAAATCCAAAGAGGGATCCTTGACATAGGATTTCCGATACTCTTTAATTCAATTGATTACTAACATTTTCAAGTAAACCAAAAAGTGATATTTAGAAATGAAAAACATCTAACATGTTTATGCACATCACTGATTGTCCACATACTTAGGGCCTAGGTAATACTGAGACCTAAGTATCTAATTCAAATTTTGTGTGTTCAACTGAATTTCAATCATATTATTGTATTCAGATTTTAAATTTTGAGATTTCAAGATATGTCAGTAGATTGTGATGACAGCATTGCTGTATTAGTAAATAGATTATACATTTATCTTTTTTCTAATGCCTTTTTGTATTTCTAAACAGACATGAACTATGGGGAGGAAGATGGAGATGAGATCTCCCCAGATATCTGGCAGGAGGCCTGTTGGCTTGTAATCTCATCATATTTTGACGAGAAAGGTCTTGTACGACAGCAGCTGGACTCCTTTGATGAATTTATTACCATGACCATCCAGAGGATTGTTGAGGATTCACAGGCAATTGATCTCCAAGCTGAAGCCCAGCACACAGCAGGAGAACTTGAGACTCCAGTAAGTCTTTCTCTATCTTTATGTCCCCTGATTTGAGAGTGATAAAGAGCAACAAATTAAAAAACCCAATAGCAAAGGAAATACAATGAAAAAAGAAGAAGAAAAAAAAGGCAAAGATGTAAAAGCCATGAAACAAAAACTACTCATTATGGAGTTTACAGATTGTTTAGGGATTGAGAAATGCACCTAACAGTAATTTTTCTTTCAGCCTCGTCATCTGTTGAAGTTTGAGCAGATTTACCTTAGTAAGCCAACCAATTGGGAGAAAGATGGTTTCAACTACAGCATGATGCCTAATGAAGCACGACTGAGGAATCTGACCTACTCATCACCACTCTATGTTGATATTGTTAAAACTGTTATTAAAGATGGAGAAAAACCAATTGAACACAAAGAAGAAAAAATTTATATAGGTAAGTAGGTGACATTTCTTTCCAGAGAATGAATGTCATATGAATCTGTGCATATATGGTATATGAGAGCATTAACAAATAACTTAAGATTGCTCTTATTGAATTTGCAAAAAAAACTTTTTATTTATTTTTTTTTCTTTATTTATTTTTTATTTTTTATTTATTGATTTTATTTTATTATTATTATTTATTTATTTTTTGGAATATACAGATCAGAATTTGCTTAATGAGCCTTGAAACAATTTTCTGGCATCTTGTGGGAATACTTCTCAAAGCACAAGTAGATACGAGTCAGGCTTAACTATTGGCTGTAGTTACATGTATGGTCCAGCGTTTTTTTTTTTTTTTTTTTCATTATTATTAATATAAATGATGTTGCATACAAAAGACTGAAAGTGCTCAGCCACCAAGGAGTCAATGAGTTGGCCCGGCATGATTGCACCTGATTTCCCATTTCCTTGACTGCTTGTAAATGTGATTTCTTTTTTTCTAATACTATTCATATCAGTCCTGTTGTTATTAATGACATCTTGATTATGACTACAAGAGAAAACAAAAAGAATCTTTAAACAATGAGGTAAAGGGTAAACGGTTGTAGGACTAATGATTAACTACTTGGTAACTTAGTACTTATGGAGACATTTATGTGTAAATGCAATTGATAAACTTAATTTCATTGGCATGTATGTCATGTCATCTGCAGCCATGGGATAATTTTTTTTTCTGATTGATATTTTTGCAAGGTACTTTCATTGATTTTTGTCACAAATTGAAGTTAAAGTTAAAGAAAGAAACAAAGCAAACTTGTTTATCTAATGAAATATGACTCAGAATGTTTTGGTACCCAACATAAAGAATTGCATGATTCTGTGTATAGGTTTAATTTAAAAAATATCTATTACTTAAAAAGAACATTGAAGGTCACACTTTAACAATTGATGCCTTTACCACACAGGCAAGATTCCAATCATGTTGAGGTCAACGTATTGCTTGCTTAGCGGTCTGACAGATCGTGATCTCCATGAAGTAAACGAGTGTCCCCTTGATCCTGGTGGTTACTTTATCATCAACGGCTCTGAAAAAGTAAGTATTTTTTGAACGAATGTTAGGACAGGTAGAGAACATATTTCAATATTTTTATTTTAAAAATCTTTTGTAAGTTCTTTTTAGCTGTATGTATGTATTAACCCCCTGGATTTGGTTGCAGTGATAACATAAGTGGCCAGCATCCTGGGCATGTGGCACGTAGGCCGGGCTTGCACAAACACCCATGAGCGGTGACAAGACTCTGTGCCTCCCCTTTGAGAAGTTATTTTGTGAAAACTTTTTAAGCTTTTATCTCCATTTTCCAATGTCCATATTTGTCTTTTGATTTGCTTTATCCAGATGGTAATTACTTATTTTCCTTGCAGAGACTCCATATCATCTCTCTATATAGTAAATAGCTCAATGCAAGAAAAAACATATATGGAACATTTGGTTATTTGTCATATATCTCATTTTTTCTGTAATTTTAAATTTTCCTTAATTCAACCTGCGCCGTCGGTCACTGCGGCCAAGAATACGGTGCACAGCATGGAAATGGCGTCCTTCCTGGAGCCGGCATTCGTCCAGTCACTGCTTACGCACGTTACGTCCCACATTCATTTATTGATGGGAATGCTAAAGCCCCCTCCTAAGCGCCAAATGAGTCAAATCACACTCCAAGATGTTTGTGCACTTGTGGCGAATCTTTTCCGTCACCCTGGCCTTTGCTCTTGACACTTCGTTCATGTCACCCATGTAGCTGCCCAAGTTTTCCTTGATGTGATCGGTCATTAAGGTTATTTCATTACATTGTTCTCATAATTTCAAATGTCTTCAAATAGAATTATGGTGCAGCTATTAGAGTTGCAGGTAGACCCATAAAGTGTGAAATACAGAACAGAAATTTTTTTAAATTAATATATGTTTAGATGTGAAGGTCATATAATGGGAAGTTAGAAATATGAATTTGGAAATATACATCAGAAAAATATAAGTACCAAATTTATGAAGAGGAAGTTTGAAAATGATTGTAGCAGTACCAGCATACGGAAATTCATGGTTTTCTATTATGCTTGTATTGGTTGGTTAGTAGGAAACATGAAATAGAACTGGAAATATTTTTTATATATTCTCCTTCATATTTATGTACTTTTCAGTATCTGCCAACTGATGGGGAGTACAGAACCCATTAACTCCTTTTATGGGTGCATTCATTCTTTATTATTTTTTTACAGGTATTGATTGCTCAAGAAAAGATGGCCACAAATACTGTGTATGTATTCAGCATGAAGGACGGCAAGTTTGCTTACAAGTGTGAAATTCGTTCTTGTATTGAACATTCTGCCAGACCTGTCTCTACACTGTGGGTTAACATGATGGCCAGGGGTGGAAGTGTAAGTATTTTGTAAATGCATTTGTAAAGGAAATTGATATGGATAACTAGTGTGCACTTTATTTGAATTATAATATTTTACTTACTTTTACTTACTTGTCATTTATATAAAGTGTGATGTTTTAGAATTTTTTGTCAATTTGATGAAATGGAATATTAAGAGTATTGTAATAAGGATAAAAGCATTCATGAAATTGTTAATTTACATAAGACAAATTTTCAGAGCACTTGGTTTAGTGTGGCAGTACATTTCAGTGAATCAAGTAATGGTAATGGGAAGAAAAAGGAAAAAAAAAAAAAGATGCAATGCACAAGCTAGATTTGTGCACTGTGCATGAATGGTAACTGTTTATTTCTTTTAACAGAGTGCAAAGAAGTCGGCCATTGGTCAGCGTATTATTGGTGTCCTCCCATATGTCAAGCAAGAAATCCCCATCATGATTGTGTTTCGTGCTTTGGGTTTTGTGGCTGATCGTGATATTCTTGAACATATTATCTATGACTTTGATGACCCGGAAATGATGGAGATGGTAAGCTTTTTATTTTTAGAAGCAGTTTGAGTGTATAGTTATACTTATGAAATATATGGTCAGCATGACATCTTTCATGTCACTTGAATTGTAGAAATTTATATATATATACAGAGTAATTTTTGTTACCTTTTGCACTGAAATGTGAGAAGTGACAGATTGAAGTTTACAGTGAGTTATAATGAGTTATTCAGTAGGAATATGTATGTAACTATTGTCTCTTGATTTACAGGTAAAACCATCCTTAGATGAAGCTTTTGTAATTCAGGAGCAAAATGTTGCTCTCAACTTCATTGGTGGCCGTGGAGCTCGCCCAGGTGTGACAAAAGAAAAGCGTATAAAGTACGCTCGTGAAATTTTGCAGAAGGAAATGTTACCTCATGTTGGTGTGTCAGATTTCTGTGAAACCAAGAAAGCATATTTCTTGGGTTACATGGTTCACAGGCTGCTGTTGGCTGCTCTTGGTCGTCGAGAATTGGATGATCGTGATCACTATGGAAACAAGAGGTTGGACTTGGCTGGACCGCTCATGGCACTGCTTTTCAGAGGGTGAGTGATTTTAAAACTGAATGCTCAATTTTGCAACAGCTTTTAAAAACATTGATTTATTTTCTTTGAGGATTAGTCTATAATGGTCTTTTTATAAGTACATACCTATCTTATACATATTCCAGACTATTCAAGAGTTTGATGAAAGAAGTTCGCATGCATGCACAAAAACTCTTGGACAAAGGCCAGGAATATGGTCTGGATGCTGCTGTTAAACCAAAGTTGATCACTGATGGTTTGCGATATTCCCTTGCAACTGGTAATTGGGGTGACCAGAAGAAAGCTCATCAGGCTAGGGCTGGTGTATCTCAGGTAAGAATTTAAATGTCTTGAGCTTCTTAAATCCATATTCCTTGAAAGTATTTATAAAAGAGTATGGTGAAAATCATATGAATTGATAGTTAAGTTGTTTGGACTAGTCTTGTCTTTGGCAGTTATATTACAATAGAGTTAGATATTTATGCTAGATCAGGAAATGGTGTATGCTTCCTTTTTTTTTTCTTAAGATGTAGGATAATTTTCTCATGTATTAGAATGAATTTTGATAAGTGTTTCTTATTATTGTGAGTTACATTAAAAAAGTACCCATTTGTTTCTGTATAATATAACATTAAAGAGAAAAGGCATTACATTGATGCTGTAATTTGATTTATTCTTCTTTATTAGTGTGCAAGACATTACTATATGGCTCAACTTTCCAGGTGTTGAACCGATTGACTTTTGCCTCTACCTTGTCACATTTACGACGTGTCAACTCTCCTATTGGACGAGACGGTAAACTGGCCAAGCCACGTCAGCTTCACAACTCTCTTTGGGGCATGATCTGTCCTGCCGAGACACCAGAGGGAGCAGCTGTCGGTCTTGTCAAGAACTTGGCTCTCATGTCATACATTTCTGTCGGATCACAGCCTGCACCAATTCTTGAGTTCTTGGAGGAATGGTCCATGGAAAATTTGGAAGAAATTGCTCCATCATCTATTTATGAGTATGTTAAAATCTTATCAGTCAGAACTCTCTAATGAATATATGGCTTGACTTAGTGGTTTAGTAGGGTTGTAATTTATTTCTCCTGAGTGTAAACAATAGATTTGCATTTAATAATACCAGTTTATAGTTTAGTAGAAATTACTAGTAGATATATTGGTAATTATGACTATCATTCTATTGTTAGTGTTAAAAAGATTATAGTCAGAGTCCTCTATTAAATTTATTTCTTGGCTCTGTAACTTATTTCTTTGTAACTTTCTCCAGAGTGTAAATAGATTTGTGATTAATGAGATTAGTCTATAATTAAAGAGAAATTACTTTTAGATACATTCATAATTACATATTAATTCTAATGTCTATTTTCAGTGCAACAAAGATTTTTGTCAATGGATGCTGGGTTGGTATTCATCGTGATCCAGAGCAGCTCATCATGACACTACGAAAGCTCAGACGTCAGATGGATATTATTGTATCTGAGGTAAATAAATTTTGTATTGGTGTAGCTGAATTAGATGTATATGTTTATGATTATTCTTGAAATATGTATAAACACTTTATAAAAGTTCAATGCTTTCATTGTTTCTCCTATAAACTGTAACAACACTGAATCCAGTGTAATGTAATGACCATTGTGTAACTAAAACAATTTTCATGTCTTGTAAAACATTTTATGTTTTTGCTAAAAATTCTGAACTACTTTACTCAAGGTGTGCATGGTTAGAGATATTCGTGACAAAGAAATCCGTATCTACACTGATGCTGGTCGTATCTGTCGTCCTCTGCTAGTTGTAGAAAATGGTAAACTGTTGTTGAAGAAGAGACACATTGATTTACTGAAGGAGAGGGAGTATAACAACTTCAGGTAAGGGCTGTGTTGTCATGTCCTGTATATGCATCTTTATACTTATTACTTTTTCATTATATGTTCTCAGAAGCTAATGCAATATAAAAGTGCAAAGAGAAATATTTTAGAAAAGTAAGGTGCATTTTTTATGGGAAATGTGAGCAAAGCTATATTTTCATTTGGTTCGCTTTACCAAATTTGTCAAAACAGTCCAAACTTCCAGCTTGCTATCAATGTAAACAAACTACCATAATGTAAGACAATTCTTTCCCCTTCATGGTGGGTGACAGAATTATTTGTTGAAGAAGACAGACTGGAGTAATTAATAATGATGGTGAAATTAAGGATTAAGAAATATATCCCAACATTGGCTTTGCATTAACTGAAGAAGATAAACAAAATAAGGATTTCAGAAAATAGTTTACTTTTTATTTAGCACAAATTTTACGATTAAAAAAATCCTCACTTTGCAACAACAATATTAAAGGATAATATCTACTTTTCATAGCAAGGAGAAGTCTTTCAAACTATGAATTTAGAATGGAAATTACAAAAGTATATGAAAATGTACTTTGAACATCCACAGGATGTCCAAAGTACAGTTAAAAGTAGTCAGTACTTATCGTAGAGAATAATAAAGCTGTCAGTATACTCCAGTTAATACTTTTGGTTGGTACAGGTATAGTCACAACTTTCTAGTTTATAAAATCATCTATTGATGATAAAATAACTAATTTATCAGAAGAATTTCATCATTATCACTTTCTGTTGGCCATGTTGGTGGGTTGTTTACCATTGTAACTTAAAACTATTCCAAGCTTCCTCTAGAGGTAGTTTGAAAATACTTGGTTTTGTTACGAAACCAGGCAAAGATATGACAGACATTGTGTCAAATCAAATATTAACAAAAAGTTTCAAGATTTTTCAAGAAATCTTGAAATATCTTGCCATCAAAAATATATCTTTAGTTTTATTGTATCAGAGAAAAACATTAATTACCTTAATAAACTGAAGAGTTTTGTATGGTGTCACCTCATTAGTATAATACAACATTGTATCTGAATTCAACAGCTTGTTTTTAAATTATATTTATTTATTTATTTACATATTTATTTAATTTTTAGTTGGCAGGATCTTGTAGCCAGTGGTGTGGTAGAGTACATTGACTGTTCTGAGGAGGAGACCATTATGATTGCTATGTCTCTTGAGGACTTTGGTGTAGAGGAGGAGAAGACCTACTGTAACACATACACTCACTGTGAGATTCATCCTGCTATGATTCTCGGTGTGTGCGCTTCCATTATTCCTTTCCCTGATCACAACCAGTCTCCTCGTAACACTTACCAGGTATGTGATAGTAATGTGTGATTTTCTAGGATTAGTTGTTGCATTTACCTGTTTTGAAAAATTTCATGGTGAATAAAAAGTGCATGTCTTAACCCCCTGAATCCACTTGCATGACGGAAATCATGGAGCTGAAAACCCCAGGCAATAGGTTACGTAAGTGGCCAGCATTCCGGGCGTGTGGCACGTGGGCCGGTGTGCACGAACACCCATGAGCGGTGACAAGACTCTGTGCCTCCCCTCTGAAAAGTTATTTTGTAAAAACTTTTTTAGCTTTATTGCCATTTTCCAATGTCCATATTTGTCTTTTGATTTGCTTTGTCCAAATGGTAATTACTTATTTTCCTTGCACAGACTCCATATCATCTCTTTATGTAATAAATAGCTTAGTGCAAGAAAAACAATATATGTGAAACATTTGGCTATTTGTGTCATATATCTAATTTTTTTGTAATTTTCAATATTACGCAATACAACCTGCGCTGTTGGTCACTGCGGCTAGGAATATGGGGCACAGCATGGAAGTGGTGTCCTCCCTGGAGCTGGTGCTCTTCCATTCACTGCTTATGCACGTTACATTCCACATTTGTTTATCGATGGGAATAATGCTAAAGCCCCCTTCTAAGCATCAAATTAAATTAGTCAAATCACACCATGATGTTTGTGCACTTGTGTCGAGTCTTGTTTGTCACCCTGGCATTCGCTCTTGACGCTTTGTTCGCATCACCTGGGTTGCAGTCCATTTGCCCGGTTGACGGCATCACCCGGGTAGCTGGCCAAGTTTTTCCTTGATGTGATCGCAACGTCATCCGGGTCCAAGGGGTTAATATATAAGAATACATTACTTCGAAATAATTTTAGGCAGCAATATTTGGCATAACTACTAGTTTTTTTACATTAATTTTCATTCTATCACTCTCATACTTTTTTGTATTACAGAGTGCTATGGGTAAGCAAGCTATGGGTGTCTATATTACCAACTTCCACGTGCGGATGGACACCCTGGCCCACGTGCTGTTCTACCCTCAGAAGCCACTTGTAACTACCCGGTCCATGGAATACCTTCGTTTCAGAGAACTGCCTGCAGGTATGGAGACATGGATGTGTGTTTTTTTTTTTAGAATTACATTGTAATGTAATCTTGTAGATTGTCTGTAACTGTGAACAATGCAGCAGAGGTACTGATGTAGAAGTATCCATGATTGTAATTATGTTTTATTGTAAATGATATGTAAGGTCTGTATGTACTGATTCTTAGACATTTTGTTTTGATAAAACTGCATTACACTAGAAACATTTTCTTACACAGAGTCCTTTTTTGCAGGAATTAATTCCATTGTAGGAATTGCCTGCTATACTGGTTACAACCAAGAAGATTCTGTTATTATGAATCTGTCCACTGTGGAACGAGGCTTTTTCAGATCCTGTTTCTACCGTTCCTACAAAGATTCTGAAACTAGACGCACTGGCATGCAAGAAGAGGTAAGTTGTACCTCACTTATTACAGATGGAAATTTCCTATGAACTGTATTTACCATATATACAGTACCCTATTAGAAATCTTGTAAGCTGTACTGATTTGATAAAATGTTTGTAGAAATAGTTGACAGCATAGGCTATATATTTATACTTTTTCAAATGACTGCAAATGAAAGATTTTAGTGTATGATAGACACTATGTCAACAAACTTACAATTCCAGGTTTACATTTGGCTATATACACATGAACTATATATTGTTTGAGTTAGCTGAGCTTTGAAGGAACATTGCATTTACCATATTTCATTCTGTTCTTTGTGTGATCAGTTGATTCTAGGTTATTTAGTAAATTAGCAAAAAGACAAATTCTACATAGAATATTTAGTTTTAAAATGTGATAGTTTAAATATTGCCTTTCTTATATTTTCATTGGTTTCTTACAAGCTTTTTTTTTTTTTTTCAGTGTGTAAGTACTGGTGGACTGGCGTGGATATTTATAATCTGGAGAAATATTCTTGATGTCTTTGTGAAGTTGATGATGAATTATATTGTAAAATAAACAATTAAAAAATTTGTTGATATATGAATCATAGTCTTGAATTTTTAAGAAGATAATTTATCTTTTCTTTATTGCATCAGATATTTGAGAAACCATCAAGAGAAACGTGCCAGGGCATGAGGCATGCTATCTACGACAAATTAGATGATGATGGAATCATTTCTCCTGGAATGCGTGTGTCTGGTGATGATGTTATCATTGGCAAGACCATCACTCTCCCTGAAAATGAAGATGAACTGGAAGGCCAGACTAGAAGATTTTCCAAGAGAGATTCTAGCGTGTTCTTGAGAGGCTCAGAAACTGGTATCGTTGACCAAGTATGTATTTTTGTGGCCATGAAGGTTGGAAGCACTTTCAGGGCTTGCAAACATTTGTTTGTGATTGTGATTATGTGTGATTGTGATTATGTGTGATTGTGATTATGTGTGATTGTGATTGTGTGATTGTGATTATGTATGATTGTGATTATGTGTGATTGTGATTGTGTGATTGTGATTATGCGTGATTGTGATGATTGTGTGTGATTGTGATTATGCGTGATTGTGATGATTGTGTGTGTGATTGTGATTATGCGTGATTGTGATTATGCGTGATTGTGATGATTGTGTGTGTGAGTGTGATGTGTGTGATGTGTGTGTGAGTGTGATTGTGTGTGATTGTGTGTGTGAGTGTGATTGTGTGTGTGAGTGTGATTGTGTGTGTGATTGTGTGTGTGTGATTGTGTGTGTGAGTGTGATTGTGTGTGATTGTGTGTGTGAGTGTGATTGTGTGTGATTGTGTGTGTGAGTGTGATTGTGTGATTTGTGTGAGTGTGATTGTGATTGTGTGTGAGTGTGATTGTGTGATTGTGTGTGAGTGTGATTGTGTGATTGTGTGTGAGTGTGATTGTGTGTTGAGTGTGAGTGTGATTGTGTGTGTGAGTGAGTGTGATTGTGTGTGTGAGTGAGTGTGATTGTGTGTGAGTGAGTGTGATTGTGTGTGTGAGTGAGTGTGATTGTGTGTGTGAGTGAGTGTGATTGTGTGTGTGAGTGAGTGTGATTGTGTGTGAGTGAGTGTGATTGTGTGTGTGAGTGAGTGTGATTGTGTGTGTGAGTGAGTGTGATTGTGTGTGTGAGTGAGTGTGATTGTGTGTGTGAATGAGTGTGATTGTGTGTGAGTGAGTGTGATTGTGTGTGTGAGTGAGTGTGATTGTTGTGTGAGTGAGTGTGATTGTGTGTGTGAGTGAGTGTGATTGTGTGTGAGTGAGTGTGATTGTGTGTGTGAGTGAGTGTGATTGTGTGTGAGTGAGTGTGATTGTGTGTGTGAGTGAGTGTGATTGTGTGGTGAGTGTGTGTGTGTGAGTGTGATTGTGTGTGTGTGTGAGTGAGTGTGAGTGTGTGTGTGAGTGTGATTGTGTGTGTGTGTGTGTGAGTGATTGTGTGAGTGTGTGTGAGTGTGAGTGTGAGTGTGGTGTGAGTGTTGAGTGTGTGTGTGAGTGTGAGTGTAGAGTGTGTTGAGTGTGTGTGTGTGTGAGTGTGTGAGAGGTGTGTGTGTGTGTGGGTGAGAGTGTGTGTGTGTGTGGAGAGTGTGTGTTGTGTGTGTGTGTGTGGTGAGTGGTGTGTGTGTGTGTGTGTGTGAGAGTGTTGTGTGTGTGTGTGTGAGAGTGGTGTGTGTTGTGTGTGTGTGTGGTGTGTGGTGTGTGTGTGTGTGTGTTGTGTGTGTGTGTGTGTGTGTGTGTGGTGTGTGTGGTGTGTGTGTGTGTGTGTGTGTGGAGAGAGAGAGAGAGAGAGAGAGAGAGAGAGAGAGAGAGAGAGAGAGAGAGAGAGAGAGAGAGAGAGAGAGAGAGAGAGAGAGAGAGAGAGAGAGAGAGTGTGTGTGTGAGTGTGTGTGAGTGGTGTGAGTGTGTTGTGAGAAAGTGTGTGTGTGTGTGTGTGAGTGTGTGTGTGTGTGTGTGTGTGAACACTTGATAGTACCTATTGATTAAAACATGTATTATTGTGTTCTTATGTTAACTGGCAAGGTTTTGACTTCACTGATAAGTCTTTTGGTTGACTTTAGACTGTCCTTTCTTCAGGTGATGTTAACAGTAAATGTAGATGGAGATCGTTTCACAAAGATTCGTGTGCGATCTGTTAGAATTCCTCAGATTGGAGACAAGTTTGCTTCACGTCATGGACAAAAGGGTACTTGCGGTATCCAGTACAGAATAGAGGTAAGGATGTTTAAGAGTATTTAAATTTATTTGTTTATATTTTATTTATATATGATTACCCTAATATTGGCATTTTATGTATAAACCGTGTTTTTTATATTCATTTGTAGTGGTAAAAGTTTTCTTTTTATTTGTTACCTCTTCATTTTCTAATCTTCAGTTTATTCCATTTTCATTGTTTCTCTAAATTTCAGGACATGCCATTCACTGTGGAAGGTATAACCCCAGACATTATCATTAACCCTCATGCCATTCCGTCTCGTATGACAATTGGCCATTTAATTGAAGCTCTCCAAGGTAAACTGGGAGCTAACAAGGGGGAAATTGGTGATGCTACTCCGTTTAACGATGCCGTGAATGTACAAAAGATCTCCAACCTGCTGCAGGAGTATGGCTATCACCTGAGAGGCAATGAGGTGGGTTGAATAGTGTTCTGCATCTTATTATTTTAAAGCAACTTAACTGCAATTTATCTCAATTTAGTTTGATACAATTGGAAAATCATGTCAGGAAAAATGCAAGTTAAATACACATTAAATTGTTCAGTTTGTAATAGGAATGAATTCTTGCATTTGGATCCTTGAAACATGATCTGTAGTTGTTCTCATAGCAGCTTGTTTATATTTATTTTTTATTTATAAACCAAAATGTTTACAGGTAATGCACTGTGGACACACTGGCAGAAAGATGAATGCCCAGATCTTCTTGACTCCTACTTATTATCAGCGTCTGAAGCATATGGTGGACGATAAGATCCATTCACGTGCTAGAGGACCTGTACAGATTCTGGTCAGGCAGCCTATGGAAGGTCGTGCAAGGTTTGTATTACTATTGGCCATAGGATTTTGTTGCCTACTATCCCCAAAGGAATATGGAGAGCAGAGACTTTTGGTAGATTTGTTAAAGCTTGTGTAAAAGTGATAATTATAGACTTCTAGAGTAGCTGAATACCATTTTTAGTCCAAATTGAAGTTGCTTACTTTAAATTTTTCTGTTTACAGTGTGTAATGGTTAAATTTTATTCTAACAGAGAGGGTGGCTTGCGTTTTGGTGAGATGGAACGTGATTGTCAGATTGCTCACGGTGCAGCTCAGTTCTTGCGAGAACGTCTGTTTGAAGTTAGTGATCCATATGCTGTACACGTCTGCAATCTGTGTGGTCTCATGTGTATTGCTAATCTTCGTAACAACACCTTTGAATGCAAAGGGTGTCGCAACAAAACTCAGGTAAATTATAAGTGGGATCTTTTTGTTAAAGTATATCCTTAAGATACTATCATGTAAAGGGTGACAGTCACATTGATTATTGTATTATTTCACTTGTTGATTGAATAAGGCTTTTACATGTGTATGGTTTTTTCTTCCAGATCTCTCAAGTTCGGCTACCATATGCCTGTAAGCTGCTGTTCCAAGAACTAATGGCTATGAACATCGCCCCAAGGATGATGGTGCTGAAGTAATCTACTGTTGATTTGAAGGATATTTTAGGTATTCTCTGCAATGTGATGTGGAAATCACTATTATAGGTGGTTGAAGAAATTCACCATATAAATTATGTGCATATATAAAACATGAATCAACTTTATCATAGATAGTACATGTTCAGTTTTGAAAGTTTTGAACATAACTGAAGGGAGATTTTATTTGTAACCAATACATTTATGAATGTGATTTTCATAGGCTGTTGTAAAGAAAGTTTTAGTTAAATCTTGTAATCAGTCTTATATTTATTTTGAATAAAGTTCTTATAAATGATTTTATTTTTAATCCTCTTTGGTGAGTGAAATTTCTTCGGGTTCTTCCATTTCAATGAGGTCTTACTGAGAAGGACTGTTAATGTTTTAATTTAAGTCATTTACCTTTTCTAGCCCCTTGGTTACATATAATGAATGGGAAGAAGATTGAGGCTAGGGTCTTGCATTACGACCAAAATATATGAAATATAGGTGGGCAGACAAGTTTTAGTGAATAATTCCAAGATTTTATGTGTAATTTTGTGCAACAAAGACTAACCAATTATTCTTGTTAGGCAGTGAGGTACTGATCTGCGTGACTAGTTTTGGAAACGTATTGCAGGCCCACTATGATAAACATAAGTAAATAATGGCAATGTGGGCAAAGCTATCCCAGTAGATAAAAAAGCACATGAACCACTGACAGACTACCTCTGGGAAAGGAGAGAATAAATCCAAAATGATTATAAGGCCTTGGCCACACAATTGGCAGTGCAAAAGTGGTAAAATAAAGTTACCAAATTATTACAAT